TACCCATTTTAGTTTTATTTAATTTTCACTATTTTAAATTGCAAATAAAAATTTTTTTACCGACGGAGGACTTATTTCATACTCTAAGGAAGATGGCGCTGTAGTAGTTTGATCCGTTTTTATTTATTTGGTGTCTTTTTAACCGACCTGTTCAAACGTCTTTTGAGAGATTTGTATTGAAAATTAGCAAACTTTTAGTTGGTGCTCCGTAAGTATGTTATTATTATTACTATTTTCACTTTGGTTAAGTGATAAACCAGGGTGCGTAGCCAAATCTTTGAATCAAAAATAAACCTTTTCAAGCACTCAAAAAACTCACATTGAATCAATGATATTATTGAAAAAAAAAAACTTCTTATGAACAGTTTTAGCATTGAAAAAAACCCAAAAAGAAACGGACATAAATGGAAACAATCAGTACTTTCCCACATCACCGAGTTAATTCAACTTGACTCTGAAAAAAAGTACCCTTACCCCCTACATCAAAAAAGTGTTAGAAGTAAAATAAAATAAACAAGAATAAAAAGGAAAACATTTAATAAGGATCGGACTATCCGAATTGGAGCACTCGGGTTTCAGTTTCGAGTGTGCGCGCATGCGCAAGTCATAACGTGGGTACGACATGAAGCCCGTGTGAATGATTACGTAGCAAACACCCCATTCTTCGTGAAATGCAAGGGATCAGCAAATATCACTGAAGAAAAAAAAAATTATTCGTAAAAAAAAAAGCACTTTTTAAAAACGCCAGCTGAAAAAAGCACCTTTAAAAGCTTTTATAAACGAAATCCCCCCAAAAGCATCTTTAAGTACTTTTTACAAACGCTACGCACCCTGTAAACTTATCTAAGACTAAGATTACATTAATTTTATATGAAAAAAAAATGTAAGTTTTGCTGTTGTAAACAAAAAGGCAGAATTCGCGGGGCGAGTCTACCCATTCGTATTTAGTTTCAATAAAGCATAATAATATACTAATTTAGAACTTTGTTTATATTAAAATTAAGTCATTCTAAATGAATTTGAGTATATTATTTTAATTCTGCATTGTAGAAAAATCACACCTCCCAAAAGAATGGGAAAAGGATTTTTCACGATTCCAATGTTTGAATTTCGATTTTGTTAATAATCTTTATTATTATTTATTAATTATTTAATTGTAAATTTATATTAATTTTCATTTATTTTTATCAACAATAATCAGAATTTTTTTTTAAATTTTATAATGTTAATGATTATAAAAACAAAACTGTGATAATCGATCAAATAATCATTTTGTGTTATTTTATGAATAAAAAAATGGAATATATAATAAAGTTAAGAATTTCACTTCATAAATATCCTATATAGTAACTAAAATAACAATTTAATAGTAAAATTTGATTATTTACAATATTAACATTCATTTTAGTTGAATGGGTAGACTCGCCCCATACGAGAGATTTTTCAGCAGTTCTATAAAAATATACAGTAACAGCGTAACTGTTAATATTTTCTAAAATCGTTTTCACAGCTTTAAAGAGGGATAAATAGCGATTCCGAAACACCTATTAAAATCCTTTTTTCTTTAATATTTACAAAAGTTTGATCACTTGAAAGTTGACGAACTGAAAAAATGGGTTGACTCGCCCCGGTTTACAGTATAGAAAAACATTTAAATTCACTACTTCATTTCTTAAAATTATTTCAGAGAGAATTTCTTAAAATGATTTTTTTAAGATTTTGAATTTTTGATAGTAACATTAATAATATCGAATGTATACACATATGGCAATAAAATTTTAAAAAATTTTTTTGATGAATAATGTAACAAGTAGAAATGTTTCATAAATAACTTTGGAAGCTCAGAACTAGTTAAGTATCTGAATTTTTTTGTTTTGAAATTTTATATAAATTTTTTCTTAATTCTTTTCCAGTATAACTTAAGTTGTATATCATGCTTAAGTGAAAAACCACCTTAAAGCCCGAGTTGTGACAAATATAGAGCCCACTTTTAAAATTGAAAATTCCAGTGATCTAGAAAAAAAGGACAAACAAATTAAATTCCCAGGCAGAAAGGATCACCCAAAATATTAAGACATTTACTTCAAGGCCAAAACAAAATTGCAACAACACACGTTTGTCAAATTGTGCCTTTGATACGAAAGTTTCACCAAATTTATAATTACATATATTCAATAAGACCCTCCAGTAAGAGAATTTAAGAAATAGGGTTTTCAAAATTGAAAATATTTCACTTACCTTAAGAGAATTTTTTTTTAAAAATAGACATAAAACTTACAATAAAACTAAAAGTAAGATCTCGTTATGGAAACCAAAATTTAACTCTTTATTCAGAGAATGGGGTGATTTCTTAAGATAGATATTGCTGAAGTACTAATTAGTAATCAACAACCCGTTACCCTGCCACTGAGATCCCCTCTATGTCTATGCAATGTTAGGAGAGCAGCTATAGACCAATGCTTATTTCACATCTGCTTTTCTCAACACTTACAAAATAACAGATTTTTGAAATGGACAGTTATTAAATCAATCTCTTAATGTATCAATGATTGTAGCAGTGAAAAAGCAGGAATTTTCATTTATTTTTAATTTTAGTAGCTAAATCATAAAAAAGGTCCATATTTTTAAAAGTAGCTTTTACCTAGATCTTATCGAAAAAAGTTGCCATTTCTTTAAAGTAGATAACGGGGGCAGCCCCAGCAATTAACTGCTCAGATGAACCAAGCCTCTTATAAAAAACTTAAAAAATGGTAGCCAATTTATTTAAACAATAAAGCAAAAGTTCAAACTTGAAGTTAATAAAATACAATAACTTTACCCTTTCGCTTAAATTTAAAAATATGCTGCAATAATTTTTATAACTAAATATTATTAGTACTATTAACAGCCGACCGGACTGTGTAGGGGTCTGGGAACTGGCCTTGAAATCAGAAAGGATCCGGGTTCGAATCCCGGACAAGGTGTGGATGTTCTTTCATTCTCCGTACTATCTGTCCTTACTGTGGGAGCAATGTTGGCACATCCAATATGGTGTCCCTGAAAGAGTGGCCAACAAATCTGCCCTTCAGATGCCTGTATTAATTAAAGGTCATTCCCTAGGTGGGTAAGGATACACCAAATGTGGCCCTTAAAGATGGTTCAGCGACTGTTGCTGCACAGCAGATGCCAAAGATAATGCACCAACTGCTCTCCCTCAGCAATGAAGTTGAAATGTGCACGCCAATTCACCAACTAGATGTTCACGGACTGGTGATATCCTGGAATGAATCATGTATTATGCTCCATTAGACATATGGACGCCGCCCGGTGGCTGAGCGGTAGCGCTGTCGTGCCACAGGTCCCTGGTTCGATCCTCGGGCCGGGCAAGGTTCACCCAGCCTTTCATCCCTTCAGTGGGTCGATAAATGAGTACCAAGCATGCTTGGGAACTAAACACTGGGGGTTCCGCGTTCGGCTGACCACCTGACCGGAACATCTGCTCCTGCACCCCAGAGCCCAAGAAAACTGAGATGGGCACAGTAGGCCTTGGCCCTCTATGGGCTGTCGCGCCACTGAGTTTAGTTTTAGACATATGGACATTGGCGCAAACTTCGTGAAAGCCGACACTTTGCGACTATTGCCTGAAGAGTGCAAATTGGAGGAGGAATCATTTTGACAGGTGACCACATTAATGTGACTGGAATGAGTATTAACTTATATTTTTCATTGGATTCATGCAATCATACTTAAGTATATACCTACCATTCAGTTTGCACTATATTCTTCTATTTATTTTATAGCTATTTCTAGTAGTAAAAAAGATAACAGCAGAAATCTAAAAATTTTCTTAATTTTTAACAGAAGTGTAGTAGTATTAAATTGTTAACTACTATAATGCATTTAAAAAATATGAGCTGAGTATGTTAGATATATCATATTTATTTAGGAACGATGTATTGAACATGCCAACTTACTTTGCTTTGTGGTAAAATTTCCGGTGATATCAAAATTAATAGTTCAATTGATTTGGTAATCAATCTGAATTTACTAAACACAAGTAAAAAGGCACAACTTTATTTCAGATATTGCATACTCTAGTCTTTCAAGAGTTTTCAGAAATTCTGAAATCTTAATTTTTTTTCTCTCTCTATCTATAAAATCTTTAGAACAAAGCGAAGCAGTTGTCATCCCTGTTAAAAGGCAGAGAAAAACCACAACACAAGATTCACCCAACTTAAATGAAATTAACAACAAAAAGAGAAAATAAAAGTGTTGTAGCACACATTTTGCTACAGAATCATATCAAGAAAGTAAATACTTTTGAAAAATATACTTTTTTTCCTTCTAAAAAACTAAATTTAAGAAACACAGCTAAGACAACCTTACCTGATAACATATGATTGATATAGGACTCTTTTTTTCTTTTCTTTTGCAAATGGAAAGAATGAATTGAATAGATAAATATATACAAAAATATTTAATGTCAGCATTCATTTATTCTGTACATTTCGTAATATCACAAAAACATATTGCCATGTTTCTTTTTACAATTTGCAGGGAAGAGAAAATAGAAAGCACATGACTTCCTTTAGTTACGGAAATTATTTTAAAATTCAATTAAAAAAAGTATCTAAAAAAGACTCAGAGGTAGCATTGCCATATTTTTTCTTTTAAAAAATACAAACAAACAAACTATGTTAAAACTAATTTAAGACTGTAAAATTTTAGGACAGCACTTTTGCTTAATATATATAGTTTAGGTTATTTTTATGAAAATACAAATGTAAAGCAAAAAACTCATAAATATATAGTAGTATAATTCTGCAAGTCTAATATGTGTTAACAGAATGCAAAAAAAGTATCAAACAAATAAATAAGTATGTCTACATGAGAAAAAAGTGCTAAACTTCATAATTGCATCAAAGTCATAATATGGGGGGGGTCATAATATGGATCAAAGTCATAATATGGATCTTTCAGAAAAAAGTGTACAGTTAGTTATCAAACGTTTTTATGATTCTCATAGTAAAAACTATAAAAAATTGTGTAGTTGGCAATCCATGTACTATTACAAAGGAACTATCATGGATAAACATGCATTTTTTGTGACTAATTTAGCAATAACAGACAAGACTGTCTATTAATTATCTTAAATCAATTATATATTTATTCGAAATATAATTGATAAGCATATGAAAAATAACCACAACTTCACTCACAATTATTAATCTTCAAGCATAGAAGTGCTGTCCCTCCATCCGACATTCTAAAATTATGAATAATAAATAAGAGGAAAAAAAAACCTAATAATTTACAACAGGGATTTATAGAGAAAGAAAAGTCATAATAGCTTGATTCATAACAAAGAGCATCTGTAGCGTACGTGAGGAGAGGCTTTTCTTTTTATTAAATAGTTCTTTTCCAGTTTCTATGAGAGAGGGGTTCCACCGAAATTGAATGAAGTTGGAACAGTTTGATTTTGAAACACATAACCACCACTTTTTTCTATTCGTTTAGATTCTAGAAGAAATAACGTGACATCAATTAACAGAAAAATAAGCATGTATCCAAACAGTTTATAGAAATGACATGCATATAAAATAAAAGAGTGCCCTTAACAGGGTACCCGCTACATTTTAGACTTTCAAATCCATGATTTTTCACGAATAAATAATTATAGCAAAAATCATGACAAATTTTGCACAATACCAAAGTTCATGACTTTCCAGGTGTGCGGATACCCTGCCTTAACCAGGGCTGCCACTCAAATCTAGAGAAAAAAAAATTCCCTGTATATATCATACAAAATATATTGAGAGAAAACACAATTACGGTACTTTTGTGTCAGCTATATTGGGCTAACTATACTAATTTTAATCGAGAGAAAAGGAACAACTGATCCTACTTAAATAACGCCATGGTAAATTAAATGTATATTTTAGGTTTTTCACCTTGAGTGGCAACCCTGAATTAATACTTGGGAAAATAATTTCTTGGATTTTGCAAGCTGTGGCAGAAACAATTTTTTTATTTTTTAAAAAAAGAAAGAAAGAAAAAAGTGCTTTTGAAAAAAAATATCAGACTTTTCAGTAGATCGCACATAAATTTATTCATTTCCCCTGACTTTTTTTTGAAATTTTAGCTAAATTCCAAGTAATTTTCTGTTCTGTGGCCCCTGCTTCTTGCATATTTTAGGTTGAATGTGGATGATTCATCGACTCACCTTTAAAAATTCCATGATATGAATACCGTATTGTTGTTGTGTTGTATTGTTTTATATGGTATGAAAGGGACAAATCTAAAATTACAAAACTTCCCCTTACAAGATTTGTTACAGTATTTGTTTCAAATAATAAATAAGTGTATGACCCCTAAATTCAGTATAAACATTTGAAACAATGAATCCTACTGGTAAGGTTACGTTTAAACCACACATGTAAATAGTGGACAGGCGCCAAGTTTTAACCATTAAACGGTTTTTTGATGTATTATTAATTGAAATAAATAGATGGAATTGAAAATCTAAATCTGTTGATTCTGCAAGTAAATTATTTTAAAATCTGTTCGTATTATTAGAAAATAAGATGTTCAGAAAAAAAAAAAAAAAAAAAAAAAGTTTCTTGTATTTTTACAGGACTACACAGCCTCATTCTATCAATGAAAATAATTTACCTGCAGCTGCTTTTCTTTGATCAGCTAGGACAAATATTTCTTCGCAGGCTCTCTGTTGCTCAGGTGTCAGGTGAGATGTGAGAACATTGTACCAATTAGGATCACTTGTTTTAAGACCTAAAAAATAAATGTTTGAGAAGTTCATTAATAATACTACCTTTTCTGAGATTATTTCTAGCTGACTTGTATACCTTTTACTTGAACAGAAAATTATCACCATTTTAATTAGGCTAATTACTATGAGAAATATTAAATGAGAATGCTTAGAAATATGTCAAATACTTTTAAGCATACTCAGCATGTTATTGGAGCATGGAATCATCTCAGCATGTATTATATAACACATGTTATTTTAGATAAGAAATGTCAAAAATCTATAAAAAAAATGCAAACATTTCAATCCAAGCATATATAGATCTTGAAATTATTCAAAATAAATATCTCCAACTCAAAAATAAAAATTTAATTTCAGTTTAATTTTTTTATAATTTAAAAAATATTTTGTGAACATATTGCTGTGTTGGCAAATTTGGTTCTCAATTGGTAATTTTCGGTTGGCAAAATGTCATAATTACATTGCACAAAAAAATTACAGCAATTTTGAAATGATATTTTAAAAAACTTTACGACTTTCTTTTAATTAAATTTAAAATAAAAATATAATGCATTTATTAAAAAACAAAAAAACATGCGTTCAATTACATAGCTGCCAACCCTTCCGCATTTTTACTTATTTCAGCCATTTTGTCCACTTTTGCAAGCAGAAGAGCATGTATTTCCTTCGCTGTTCCTCTTATAATAGCCTGGGGAGAGGGGAAGAGACCCCTTCCTGGAATCAACATTGAAGAAAAAGAAATGCGGTGGATCTGCATTGAAATATATATTTGCTCATTTGATTAATCTTGTTCATTTTTAATTATTATGGCTGAACGAAAACAATGCTAACAAGCTGTTAAGGAGACTTATTCTCTTGAACTTCCATACATTTCTAAATCTAATGTTGGAATACACGATGTACATTGCACAAAATAAAAAACAGACCACCCAGAATAACTTTCAATCTAATGGTTAGTTCTTCACATTCTGAGACTCAATCTTAATGATTCAAGGGGGTGGCATCACATATGCTAATTATTTAATGCAGACGATATTTCAAGTTATCAAATCAGACACAAAAATGTACTTTTTCTGAGTAAACATATCCCCCCCCAACGGATTTGCATCTTTGACCCCGAAAATATAGGAGGTAGGTGCTATCTGGGAAATAGGTTCCCAATATTTCAGTCAGGAGAACGATCCAAAGCTTTGATCAGTACATAAAACTGACAAAGCACCAAATTGTTCTTACAAAGAAAACATAACAGAGCAGGTAAAGTGGGAAGTAAAAATTTCTTAAAAAGAGCAAATAATAAAATAGCATTGAGTTTTAAAATATTATGTTTTCATGTAATCAAGAACTACGAAACAGCAAGTAGATGATCAAAAATCTTTTTTGCTTTAATAAAAGGTGAGTTTATTCTCTTTTTTATGCTCATTTATATTATAGTGGATTTATGAAATAATAAATAATTGAAATCAGCTTCTGCACTTTTAGGCATTTTTTTTGTCGTTCTTCAGCATTTTAATAACTAGGGGTTGACAGCTATGTAATTATAATTTTATTATATTTTACACATTTCATTATATTAGTCAAAAATACGTTTTATTTTAACACTGCAAATATATACCTGAATTTTAAAGTACCTACAGCGAGTATTAAAAGACAAATATTATGACATAATAAAATAAATAAAGATTTTTTTCTTGGGTCATGAATACATTTATACATATGTAATGTATATTAAAAAAATGGCTTAGTTATTCTACAGTCAAGGTAAGGTATAAGGCAGAACNACTTTTTCTGAGTAAACATATCCCCCCCCAACGGATTTGCATCTTTGACCCCGAAAATATAGGAGGTAGGTGCTATCTGGGAAATGGGATCCCAATATTTCAGTCAGGAGAACGATCCAAAGCTTTGATCAGTACATAAAAGTCTGTCATAATATATAATAGTCAGGTACATAAAACTGAAAAAGCACCAAATTGTTCTTACAAAGAAAACAATTAACTGCCAAAGAAGAAGAAGAAAAAACATAACAGAGCAGGTAAAGTAGCAAGTAAAAATTTCATAAAAAGAGCAAATATTAAAATAGCTTTGAGTTTTAAAATATTATGTTTTCATGTAATCAAGAACTACGTGTCAGCAAGTAGATGATCAAAAATCTTTTTTGTTTTAATAAAAGGTGAGTTTATTCTTTTTTTTTAATGCCCATTTATATTACAGTGGATTTATGAAATAATAAATAATTGAAAGCAGCTTCTGCACTTTCAGGCATTTCTTTTACATTTTTTTCTGTCGTTCTTCAGCATTTTAATAACTAGGGGTTGGCAGCTATGTAATTATAATTTTATTATATTTTACACATTTCATTATATTTGTCAAAAATACATTTTATTTTAACACTGCAAATATATACCTGAATTTTAAAGTACCAACAGCGAGTATTAAAAGACAAATATTACGACATAATAAAATATATTAAGATTTTTTTCTTGGGTCAGGAATACATTTATACATATGTAATGTATATTTAAAAAATGGTTTAGTTATTCTACAGTCAAGGTAAGGTATAAGGCAGAACAATTTACTCTGCTATTTCAAAAAATTAAGAAAATAATCCTGATACTAAGTTTTCGAATTGTTTACTTTAGGCCTATTTTTCAGTAGTTAATAGCAATACATATTATGCAGTAATATAGTTTTGAATGCATTTTTATGATTTAGTTTTCTAATTATTTCCATTATATTTATATTCATATAGTTTAATTAAAAATTGAATATTAAGTTCTTAAAGTATCCTTTAAAAAATCTCAGTTAATTTAAAAAAAAATCTAATTTAAGTCAAATAAATTGATTTAAAAAAAATAATAAATTAAGAATATGTTTAAAAGACGAAAAAAGCTGAATTCATATTAGAAAGTTTCATGTATAAACGGCTTTTAAATATCACAGAGGTGAAAACTTAATGGAAAAATATCTGAAAATAAGAATATTAATTTACTTTGCATAATTTCTTTAAATATAACATATTCATCTATAGCACAGTCTTCATCGTCTAAAGGTGTGACATAACTTTCTAATGCTGTTTCTTCTGCTTCTTCATAAGCTTCTTCGTCATCTGAAGTTTCATCATCATCAGCAATCACAGATGAGGTGACAGGGAAAGGAGATTTCTTCTTTATGGTTTTAGACAGAGACTCTAAATAATCACCATCCTCATTGATTTCATCTTCATCACTTGCCAAAACATCTGAAAACAACTATACATTAAAAATAATTAAGTGCTAAAGGAAAAAAAAACTATCTTAAGTAATGTTAAAGGGACATAACATTTGATTCAGAGGAGGGAAAGTTTATACGATTGTAACAAAACAGCAAAGCTAATACTTTAATCTATAATATATGTTTGTGCATGCCTGTGTCACCCTTAACTTTAGAATAATTTGAGTTCTGAAATTCAATCAATAGGTAAAAGAATCTTAAAAATAGTTATAAAATTTGTTAAAAAAATCAGCATTTTTTTTTATTGGCTCAAAGATTGATTTAAATGCAACTGCAGACAATTTTAAAGACAGTATCAGTGTTTTTTTTTTTTTTTTTTTTTTTTTTTTTTTTTTTTTTTTTTTTTTTTTAACATTTTTATTAATTGAAAAGGAGTTATTTTCATATTTACGGCAGCATAATTTTGGAGGAGAAAAAAATGTGTTTTGGAGTAAACATTCTTTTTATTATTAGAAAAGCATAGTTAGTGCTTGTAAAATTTAGATTTTGGTGCAAAGTTAACAATTTATATAATATTTAACAGAGCTTAGAAAACATGCATTATCAAATAAAAAAAATTTGTAAAAGAAAACACTACAAAGAATTACTTTTTATTTATTTCCACAGGCTATATCATATATAGATAAATATCATTTTAAATAATTAGATAAAGAACTATGCCAGTTAACATTTGAAACTAAGTGAAATTCCCAATTTAAATAAACTTATCTACCACCACTAATAAAAACATATCATCAATAATATATAATTTCATCAATGCTGAGTTATTTCTAGATGGGGATTGTGGGGCACACAGCTGTTTGTCGTTTTCTGTTGGTTTTTCAAATTATGATATCTTAAAGAAAATATAATAATTTTGAATCTCAGTTATCACTTTTTAAACTGCTAGATCAACCCATATTTTAAGATAATTTTTTACACCTTTTTAAGTAGTTTCTCATTTTATAATTACATTCTAAAGTAATTTTACGTTAAATGATTATTTTTTTGTGGGACACTCCCATTTGTTTAATCCAATTTCAATATTTTAAGCATGTTATTACTGCACATGTATGTATTACTACACATATAATCTACAAGGCATTTTCTTTTAGTTAGAGGGGGGGGGGGTAGCTATACTTTCGTTCATTCTTAAGTAAATCCTATAAAAATCATTAAGATATTTTAGTCAACCCTTTCGCATTGCATTTCCAATATCTTTAATATAATGTTATATTATAGAGGTTTTATCCCCCTTTTCCAAAAAGCAGGTCCCTAATTAAAATATGAATTTTCAATCTCTTTTATCCACCTATCAACATGCACATTTAAAACTCTTCTCTCCAAGAATGATAAATAAATAAAAATTAAAAACTAGAAGAGTTTTAGACAATTAAGGCCTTTTAGTAGAAAAGATCAAACACCTGCATGAAGTAAAAGCAACAATTTAATTTAATTTGATATGATAAAAAGGATTAAAAAATATAGAAAAGAGATTGATAAGAAAAAGATTTTTGTTCATACATATCTAAAGTTGCATTATAATTTTGTTTACATGAAATTTTTAATATCTTCTTCCTCTTATTATACATCAATCAAACTACCTTTATAACATCTTTAAAGGTTTTAAATTAACTTAATGATCATCATTTAATTCCAAACTTCTAAATGCCCAGTGTGAGTGTACTGATGAAAATGTATTTCACTATAAAAGCTTACCAGGTTCAAAATCTTCTTCCTCCTCTTCATCAGAATCTTCTTCCTCTTGAGCTTTGTCTTTAAAAAACAATTAAAAATATTTATTAAATTTCAAATTGATAGTCTGTTACAAAGGTCTTTATAGAAATGATTAATGGGAATTTTATTAAAAAAAGAAAAAAAAAAAAAAAAAAAAACGCGTACACTAAATTTCTATAATAAAATAATTTTAATTGAAGTTAGATTTTAAAAAAAATTTAAAATAACTAAGTTTAATCAATCATAGTATCAAAATAATAATAATAATAAGTTCAGTAAGAATATTCTATCATTTGACAATGATTTTTTGCTGTCTACAATAGCAATAGATATTGTCAACAATAACAAGTCATGTATAGTTTGTGTACGGTGAGAAACCTCCTTGCCACTAAGTCTTAGGCTGTCTGCTGTTACGGAAACAAGAATACTGCATTTCAGGAAGGGCAGCATTTCTTCACTCTAGAGCAGAGGTCGCCAAAGTGGTCTATATAGACCCCCAGGGGTCTATTTAACAAAAGCGGGGGTCGATCTGAGACAGGGGGGCGAATGGGGGTCGATCCGAATCAGAAGGATTGATTGTGGGTCGAAAAAAAAAACAGTTCTCAATACGCAAATCACACATACCTAATTAAGTATGTGAAATTTGTGATTTTTTTTTNCATCAGAATCTTCTTCCTCTTGAGCTTTGTCTTTAAAAAACAATTAAAAATATTTATTAAATTTCAAATTGATGTCTTTATAGAAATGATTAATGGGAATTTTATTTTGAAAAAAACGCGTACACTAAATTTCTATAATAATAAAATAATTTTAATTGAAGTTTGATTTTAAAAAAAATTTAAAATATCTAAGTTTTATCAATCACAGCATCAAAAGAAAAAAAAGAGGGGAGGGGGCTGTAAGAATATTCTATCATTTGACAATGATTTTTTGCTGTCTACAATAGCAATAGATATTGTCAACAATAACAAGTCATGTATAGTTTGTCTACGGTAAAAAAAAAACCTTGCCACAAAGTCTGAGGCTGTCTGCTGTTATGGAAACAAGAATACTGCATTTCAGGAAGGGTAGCATCTTTTCACTCTAGAGCTACCACAATAGACCGAAGAAAAATATTCCCTTTCTCTCGCCGACCTAAGCCAAAACCTGTCCTAAACAATGATCCCAGCCCGCTACTTGAAATAGTTATACCTCGTTACTATATTCACCACCACAGACCCAGAAGAACGGCTAGGGTATTTCTTACTTTAAACAAACTACATATACACAAAATACATATAGCTACACAAAATTAGAAAAATAAATTTAGAGTACTTACACGCATAAGCTCTCTTGAGACCATCAAACAATAGCAATACAGATGGAATTATCTTTGGCAAACAATCATTGCTAATTTTGGTTTTACAAATAGGGGTAGATACTAATGTACACAATCCTAACACACAGATTTTTCTGTCATGCAACCTAAAATTGGAATAACATAATTTAAAGTACTTTGAATAAAAAAAATTAATACAAATATTTTGATTATTGCTATGTTGTAACACTGATTTTTTTTTTTTTTAAAACTCTTTCTTCTATTGCACATATTCTTTAGGGGAGAAAAGCACTGAAAACTTGTATCAGCTGCATCTAGGTTTTCTACAGAAACAGTTGATTTAAAATTTTAAAAAAAATTTGTAATTGGAAATATTAATTGCAAAAGAATGCAATTATCTTAAAGTTATGTGTTGAGTGGGAAAAAAAAACTAATAAAATTAATTTTTATCCTAACTAATGCAATTCCTTGATACTGAAAAATACAGAGACAATTCAATAATGGAAATTACAGTGCATTTGAACTAAATCAAACCATTAACTGGATCTTAGCTACATACAGATTTTGGCATAACCAGTGTGCCTAGTTTGAATACACATTACCAGTGTGCAACAAGACTTTGGTTCTTATTTTGCAAAGGTTTATAAAAGTACATAACTCACCCAAGAAAGCAATCTACATCTTTTATCCACTGCTGTACAAAATGTTCCGTGGCATTGGGTACATTCATTTTTTCTAAGGTATCCAGAAGAAGATTAGGATTATAATAAAATGCTGCTATCACCACCTGTAATGATTAGATAAAAATTTTATAACATAATAATTAATGGATACACAAGAGAACGAAAGAAATCTCTTCTTAATTGCATGTTTAGGGTTGGCACTAATATCTGCATAAAAGAAATTCCCTGTGTTTTCCCTGCACATATTATACACAATCAGGGTGGCCACTCAAATCAGATTTCAAATTTCCCTGATTTTTCCATGTTTTGCAGGTAAAACTCTTAAAATTTCCAGGTCCATGTTTTTTTCTTTTCTTATAAAGTGTAGGATGTGTACAAGGAAAGTGCCTATATTATAAAATATTTTATTCAAATTGTCATTTTTTTAAAACATATCTTGAAAAAAAAAAAAATTTTTTTTTTTATTTTTTTAATGTTTTGGTACAGCATTAATTTTTAAAAAATTAAGACATGTGGAGAAAATAATAAGTTCAGCTTGTAGAACATATTGTTTTTATTGAATAATTTTTTTTGAATGTGTTACTTTAAGTTGTATTTGCTCAAAGTGTACCAGTACCTACAAAATGGCAAAAACAGAATGACCAATAAAACCTTGGATAAGTATTGTTTAATATATTTTCATTAAAAACCATTTCAGGTGATTATTTATCAATAAATTTTCATAATTACAGTGGCTCCCAAAAGTGTTCGTTCACCTATAACTTTTATTGAAATAGGAAATAAAAATTCATTAAATAAAATGAATATTTCACAATGGTTATTTGATAATAAGATATATGATCTATTTTTAACAAAACTGCTTTAAGGAATATTTTAAAAACAAAGCAAAAGTTAATTTTTAAGATATCACTAATCAAATAGTAACAAAAATTTTACCCGATGAAAACCATCGGACAGTTAAATGTTTTCGGATTTCAGAATTAAAATTATCTTCAATTGCTTTAATTTTTTTATTTAANTGCGTGAATGGGAATTGATTTTCAACAAAAGAAAAAAATTTTCAACAAAATATCATTTACTGCATAAAAATTTTTTCCGCGCGGAAATTTATGAAAAAAGAGCGGAAGATATGGAAAAATCTGAAAAAAGCGGAAATCAGCGGATCCGCGGAAGAATCACATCCCTGAAATAGGAAATAAAAATCCATTAAATAAAATGAATATTTCACAATGGGTATTTGATAATAAGATATATGATCTATTAACAAAACTGTTTTAAGGATTATTTTAAAAACAAAGCAAAAGTTAATTTTTAAGATGGTTTTCAGAATAAAAATTATTGTCGATTGCTTTAATTTTCTTTTATTTAATTATTTTTCATTTGATTTATTATTTATTTCTTTGCAATTTACAGAGATGCCAATTTGAAAATTATGATTTCAGTAATAATCACACATAACTTATGATTTTCAGTAATAATAAAGTTTTACCTCATAATTTTAATATTAAAGATTTAATGTTTATTTTAATGGTATTATAAATTAAAAATTAATAAGAATTAATTCATTATATATTTATTTTAATAATTAATATTCCAAAACTGTTCTGTTTAAAAAAAGATAAAATTTGAGTTTAAGATACACCTAAAAAGGTACATAAATACATACTTGTATAATAGAACACAAAATAAGAAACTGAAACTTCAATACATTTTTTTTTATGTCAGCATCAGAAAATTTCCTTTCAAAACACACTTTTTTGTTTGTAAATGCATTTTTTTTCTCTAAGAAGAGAAGACAAAGTGTCAGTTCCTAAATTAGTTTGGAAATTTCATTCCATGCACTATCCATTCTTGTAAAATTTATAGTGGAAAAATCTTGAAACTTGTATGCTGCGAATTCTTCTCCCAATTTACAATATTCTTCATTTGAAAATATATGCCGGTATCTATAAGCAAAATATTGCACCGATGAAAAAGATACCTGTCTTTAAACGTATGTTAGCTATTTCTGCATGTTTTAACATCTAATTGTCTAAAGGTAACTTTCTCTGGATGTAGCAACAAGCTGCCTTGTAAAACTCCCTAACATCAGCATAAAATTTTTCAAGTTGTTCACTTGAAAATCTTCATTAAAAAATAGAGTGACAATGTTTATGCCAACAGTAAGTACCACTTATTTCTGTGCTGTTGACATGATGGAACGAGAGCGCGACGTCATCGATGCGAAAGTTAGAAGCGCTACATTTAAAAGGAGCAATCTTACTGCATCCAAAAACGCATTTCGGATCACCGTCCTCATCGACCGATACGATTCAATGAGATTGATACTTAAAGGGAATAATTATACAATAAAAATTAAACTTTTGGATGAGTTAAAAAGTATTTTTCTGTAATTTTGGGGGAGTAGCCCGTAATAGCGTAATGTTGCCATAAAATCCGTAATAATTACAGTAAATCTGTAATAGTTGGCATTTCTGAATTTAGTATCAAACTTATGATAGCAAAATCATATTTAAATTTTTGCTGGATAACTCTGTAAAATTTTATTTTATCATTTAAAATGGCTCGTGGTCGTAATATGTTAAATTGTTACATTAATTTATATATGTTAAATTAATTTATTGTGTCCTATTGCACTGGGTAATATGTGATAAAATGCTTAAAAGGACTTAATATCAGAGATTAAAATTATAAAATTTGTGAAAAAATTCATAAATTTGCAATTGAGCGTTTTAAAAGTTTCTCTGAAATTTAAAAAAAAAAAATATTTTGCACGAATTTCATCTGACAAAAAAAAAAATAATAATAGTTACATGTATTTACAAACTTATAAAAGCTATTGTACATGCGAAAGGAAACTCAACTAAACGTTAATTTAAGGAAAAATTTAAATATATACTAATAGACAGAGTTTTTTTTTCTTTCTTTCTTTGAAAGTGTATGATTACTTTCGTAGGATAAAGTTTTTGGCACTTTTTGATAATTGACTTCATAAAAATAAACTCTCCTGTTTTTAAAATATTACATACAGTTTTGTTAGGAACAGAATGCATTTTTTATTATTAAATATACATTCTGAAACATTTATTTTAATTAATGGATAGTCTTATTTCATTGAAAGTCATAAGTGTGCCAACACTTTTGTTAGTCCCTGTAATTACATTTCAATAGAGAGCTATACTGTATACTACATTATACTGTATTTTATCTTACCAGTGCTTTTTATAAAATTCATTGATCATATTTTCTTTCAGCCAATATCTCAAATCACATTTTTAAATAATGTTGTTTTGAATTAGCACTATTATTTTAAGAGATTCAGTATACAAAAATAAATGTCACAAATGTAAAATTGCCTAATTTTTTGTTCTGTACTCTATAGAAAAACAAGTAGATAAAATTCCTTAAATTTTATACTTTCTTGGTTTTATTTGAAATTAAAACATTTGAAGAATTCCAATCTAAACACAAAGTTTTTTGTTTTTGTTTTAACAACTAGAATCTTGTACAGCGCACAACTAAATCACTAAGTTTCGTTTTCGTTCTTCCGACTAAACACATATGAATAAAAAAAAATTTATATTTTATGCTTATAATTTAATATGTTTCCTATATATTCCTTAGTCTTTCCCAGCTTTTTAGGGTAAAAGGAGAGATAGTTTTGGAAATATCATCTCTGGAATGCAAACAACATTACGAACTTTCGATATCTATACAATTCGAATTTTGAATTGAAAATCAAATATTTACCAACAAAACAGTAAAATTAAATATTAATATATAGTTAGTTCTAAAAAAAACCTTTCTTTTAAATTAAAATATGTTATAAACGATTAAAATAGAAAGAATTAGCATTAATGCAATTTAACTGCAAGCAAAGTATAGCTAAGTTGATGATATTTTAACTGTTTGGAAATACATTTGTGTCTAAAAAATGAGGGTATAATGGATAAAATAATTTAAATTAAGAAAATTAGCAAATAATTTAAATTTGTGAATTTAAAAAAAATATCCATGAAAAAATTTCCAGCTTTTCTTTAAAATTCCCTGATTTTTCCAGCTTTTTATCCAAATTTTCCTGATTTTTCCAGGTTTTTTCCAGTACAAAAAAATTTCCTGATAATTCCAGGCTTTCAAGGTGGGTGGCCACACTGACAATATATTATGAAGATAGTAAGTTACAGCTGCTGGAAAAAGTTAAGAGTAATAAGGAAGAGCTAAATAATGCTATAATAAATTAAATAATTTCTTCTTCTTTTTCCTAATCCCCAAAATTAGCAGGGCTAAACAATGTCCATATGAAATTCATGATCCGGAAGAAGTTGGTCACCAAAAGGGGCAAATAATTTTATATAGCTGAACTATCATCTTTTAAATGACAAAAATTCCTAGTTTGTAAGCAACAAATTAAAAATTCCCTGCGTTTCCTAATTTGTTTCCTTATGAAGTGGCAACCCAGATGTTGACCCCATGTTTGGAAAATATTTTATTGAGTGAAAAAGAACTAAAAGTTAAAGTTTTAGTATTTTTGGTAATCTTGACAACACCTTAACAGCCTCACCACGAGAGAGGTGGAAAAAAAAGGGGTTCAAATTAACTTTGGAATCATTTACCCATAGGGGTGTAGAAAATAGTTTGAAATCAAATTTACAAAACAAAGAGCACTGCCAATTTCAGGATAAAAATATTGTCCTTCAAAAAAAAGATTTCAATGAAATGAAACTATTTCCTTAGTTTCCACATCTTGCGGTTAGAAAACAGAGTTTTATATACTACAATTATTGAAGATTAATGATTCATTAAACTGGCGTAAATTAATTTAACAGTAGCCAAATTCTTTTTTACTATTTTAGGCTATGTAGATTTTATCATCCAATGCAAGGAAGTATAAAAAATGCAAATTCAAATCTAAAAACATCTGTCAAAAAATTGGAAGTACAGAATGCTAGCAGTTGGATACCTTACCTTTGCCCCAGTTAAAGTGTAACAAAGTAGAACAGACATATGATGAAGTAAGTAACAGAATAATTTAATGATTTTTTTTTATTTGAATTAATTCTTTCTCAAAGGCCTTACTCATTAACACATAGCTGCCAACATAGTTAGGAAATAATCCAGTAGGTTTTACAAAATATAAATTTCTCGATAATTGTTGCAAAATGTACTTCATATTTTACACATACGGAATTTCAGAGACTTTTATAGTCATCGAAATAGAAAAATTGCAATACTTTCCAATTATGCTCAAAATTAAATGAACTTGAAATGTTATGCATTACATTTACTTATAATTTTGAATAGTAATAGCTATTTCATTCATCAGAGGTTATTTAATTAATTTCAAAAGGAAGTTCTGAATGAAAATAAACTTAACATTTCAGAACAAAAAAAGTTTTAACTGATTTTTATAAATGAGGCTTGCTTCGTTATGTATTTAGTAACACTCATTTAAAAATTCGAGCAAGCAATAATTTGTGCAAAAGTTCTATTTCAACAGGGATTTTTTAAAGGAAATTTACTCATTTAAGGAATTTTCTAAAATAAAATAATAATAAAAAAACAGGAGAATTTTTATGAAACCAGAAGGCCAGGAGAAACTGGCAAAATCTAGTAGTCTACTGAAAAAACCAGTATAGTTGGCAGCTATGTAAACATAACGTAGAAAAATCCCCACCTTGAGAAATTTTTATTCATAACAGAACTCATTGTGAACAACTAGTTTGATTTTACATCTAAAGCAGAGCTTTTAAGGAAAAAACAAGCTACTATAAAATATTGAAAAAAATTATCTTACCTGTAACAAAATAGTTCTTAATTCTGATGTTTTAACTTCTCTTGTTAATCTACCTAGAACTAATTCAACAAAAGAAGGAATGCACTAAAAAAGAAAAAAATATATATAAGAAACTTTCCTTCAAACAAAAAGTTAAAAATTAATCACCATCAATATTTGCAGATTTATAAGCATTAATAATAAATAATAATAAAAAAATGTTAGATCAAAAAACAAAATCTTTCGATTGTTCCAATGGATTATATCAAATGTTGCAGTTGGGATGCAAAAGGATGTTCTGAACAGGAAAAAAAATCAATATCAGGATAACTGCAATCCCCACTTTATGTAAAGTTAGAATTACTTTAATAAGTTCATATCAAGGAATTTCCTAATCCGGAATATTAGTGGTTTTCAGGATTCTGCATACACGAGCACATGGTTAACTTTATTTTAAAATGTAATAATGACTACAGAATTTTATTAGTTTTCATGAGAATAATACTTCTTTTTTTAATAATATTGTGTATTAAGACAATTCATAAACTTATTCTTAACTACTTATTCTCCACCAAATTTGATAAATTACATTAAATAAAGAGCATGAAGACAATAAAATAAAGAAATTGGATTTTTAAAAAAATTAGGTGCATTTTAAAAGATGTTTTAACAATATTCTATTTTTGGAACATTGGCGTTTGACAGTTTTGTTTTGCTGAGAGTGGTCAGTAAAAAAGCGTAGCGTCAGCTGCATTAATACATTATATAACTTTGATCAGGACAAGATGATATTAACTTAGAAAACCATGAAAATGTAAAATATCTTTTTGGGAAATATATTAACTTTAAACTTTCTTTAAAGCAAAAAATGATTACATACTGAAGAGATATTCCAGATTATCTATACGAATAGTTTTTAATAGCACAATTCATGTGTTCATGACATTTTTATAAAATTGCTTTTGCCTATAATTTTGTTGGTCCAAATTTCAATTCATTATTAAATTTTATTCAACTTTTTTTCTTTGCAATTGACTCAAGGATTTGATTTCCACTTCATCTTCTTGAATATTTCTTTTTAAAACAATATTTTACATACACAGAATAGCTAATAGGTCTAGATAAGTTGTTTTCATCTGTTTTCAGTAGAAATTAAATTCCTGGTTATCCTGGCTCTAGCTGAGAAACATCTAGATCTTCCAAATCTGAATTAATCTTTCTAACTAGACCATTGTTTAGTGCATTATTATGCTTCTCTTAGACACTGAGCTAAGAGAAAGAAAAATTTTTAAACGAGACCAATAAAAACAAAAAAGAGCACACTTTCCTTTACAGGGTGCATAGCCAAATTTTTCGACAAAAAATAAGCACCTTTTAAGCACTGAAACAAGATTTATCTTGTTCTGTTAACAAGATTTCGCATGCGTAAAGAAATTTAAATCTTAGATTAGTGGAACAACAAAAAAGTTTTGTCAGAACATAAATTACTAATTCGTGGAAGTAGCGGAAGAGTCACGTATCTGCTTTTAGTAAGAATTCTGAAGTCCTTAAGTTAGAAATATTATTTTCAAAATGTGATTTAAGCAATTAAATATTGAGGGGGGGGAAAAACCCGAACCACATGATAATATGTTAAAACAAGTAATTGACTACCACTAGAGAAGAGTTGCGCAAAATTTATATGATATTCAAAAGATTTTAAATTACTTACAGGGTCAATCATTCCTTTGCAATGTAATATGACAACTTCTAATAACTTGGCCGCATGACATTCTGCATCTTCACCTGATTCACCATTCAATATCTAAAAGGGATTGCAAATGAAACACGCTGAAACCAGAGAAACAACAATATGTTCCAATTCAATTTTGTATAACGCTGAAACGTTTCCAATAAAACAAAAGCTAAGTATAACTCACATTTTTGCTATACACCACAGCAATATTCTATCAGAACTACATTATTTTTTTTTTATACTATAGCTAAAAAAAATTTTTTTCCAAAGAATTTTACTAAATGAAAGTTTAACAAGTAGATATTACACCAGTATATTAATAATAAATAGAAGCTTACTCAAGAATGGGAATAGTTGAAAAACTCATTATGAAAAATAATTTATTGTAAGAGATAACATTCGTTATAAAGTCAATTAATAATGCTTTACTTCTAATGTGAAGGGCTAGTTTTATTTTTAACCTATTATTTTCAACTTATATTTTCCAACTTAAACTCTGTGATTTTGGTTGGACAATTTTATCTTTGTCGTTCATTTTGTTATTTATTTTGTTTCATGGCATATAGCTTTGAATTTGAAATTTCTACAATTCATTTTTTTTAGATAAATATTCTTTCTTCCTGTTAATTTCAACAAAAATTTCAGGACATTTATTGAAATGTTTAATAATTAAAGACACTTTCTTTCTTTCTTCTTCTTTTTTTTTTTTTTTTTAAAGGAAATTAAGGACAACTTTGAGCCCTGAAATTGTGATTTGAGTGTTGAAGGGAAATTTTTGAACCATATAATTGGAAACTTTAACAAAATAATCTCTGGTCCTCCTCAACGACTTTATTAGGAATCTTATGGACTATTACCAAATTTGAATAAATTGTTTGATTTTGTATAGAATTAAACTCAATATACAGTAGGGAACCGATTAACAGGAACGGTCGGGACCATCGCTATTCCGGATAACTGATTTTTCGAATCGCTACAAAAGCCGTTTTTTTTTATAGCTAAACCCAACTAAAAAAAAAAATTGGAAATAATCTTAAAAATAAGAAAAAACGAAGTAATACACTAATGATTATTTCCAAAACGATGGTAAGGTAAACATCTTTAAAAAAAGAAAGAAAAATCTTATGAGGAAAAAATGGCGAGAAAATTATTGAATTTCGTTCCGGTTTTTTGATTTCCGGATAACGGGTTCTGTACTGTATTATACACATTTTGCATTCTTTATAAAGTCTGGAAAAATTAATCATATCAAAACAGTTTTACATATTTCCAAAAGAAAATCTCTGAAGCTATGAATTTTAGGTAATTCTGCATTCGGAACTTCAAACAATGGTTTCATATAAAGCAAAAATTGCTCAAAAGCCTTAAAGTTATGTCTGATTTAAGTTTTTCAACAACCTTTCTCTATTTTCTTTCTCTGGGTCTGACACTGTTTTTAACGAATTCAAGTTTTTAACTACCTTATATTATCACTTTACACTATCTTCTGATTTTAAATGGATCGCTTTGAATTGATGTCTATGATATCTGGTGAACATATATTTGAGTTTGATTTATCTTTTGATTTACTATGTTTCATTTGATGTACAGTCCACCATACATCACTGTTGATAGTAGTATCACAGTGATGGGACAATTTTGCCTTTTTTTTAAAAAATTATCTTATCATTTGATTCCTTTCTAGTGTCTGTTACTGCTTTTAGAAAGTTGCTTAGTTAATCAACTAATTACGTTTATTTAAACCAAAATTGACCATAAATAAATGGAAATGGGAGCAATCCACATCCAAAGATGGGACAAATTTATGAACTAAATATTTTCAATTGGAAAAATATCTTAATAGTGCATTTTAGAGTTGGAGGACATTTATTCACTCCAAACCTCATTGGCTACGAGGTTAGCAATGTGGTTTTAAATATAAAAATAAAAGCTTGTCATTGATTATATATATTTTACATTCAAATAGACTCAAATGAAAAAATATAAATATTCTCATTAAAAAGTTTTCAATTTTGAGTTTAATTGCTAATGTGATTCGTAATTGTGCCAATTTCCTTGAGAATCCTAAGCAGTTGGCAATTCTGCCAAAATGTGAATTACAGTTTCAGACAATAAAGAAGGGAGATTATTAATAAATTAAATGCCAAGCCATATAGTGAGATTCTAAATTAATTTTTTTATAAATGTAATTCTAATAAAAAAAATTGACTTACTGCCTTGCACATATTGTAAACAGCTAATAGGTGGTTTTCATTACTAACAAAAGCTTGACTATCAACTCTCACAAAGTTATGGAGAGCTGGCATCATATCTACAACAGTTCAAACAGACAATTAAAAAAAATATTGAAGCATGTAGATCATTTATTTCAACAGGGACAACACAATATGTTTTAAATTGGAACTTACAATAATTCATCGAAATGATAAAATTTGTAATTATACAATGTTAATTATGACGTTCATTATTATTATATCCAGACACGTCTACTTTTACTCTTTCTGAAGAAGTATTTCTTAAGCAATGGTGAAAGACTAATTGAAATACAATGGACCATCTGTAGTTGTTGGCAGCTATGCTATATCTAAAGTACAGTGTTAATAATTAGATTCACTAAATTTGGAAAGCGCAAAAGCGTCAAAGAATAAACATTTTGACGACTACTCTAAAATCTAGAAACGCTGCCCTAATATGATTAGAGCCTACATATTAAATATGTAGACTCCATCTCAGAACACGATTATTTACAGACTATTTTACGACAAAAATTAATATAGACATAAGTATTCACTTGTAATTGACTAAAAATAATGCACTTTAATAAAGAAACTTAAAAATTAAAAAAGAAAAGGGAAATTTCTTCAGCAACATCCATGCTCCCCTTACAATCAATAGAAAGCATTTGCTTTCTTACTATTTTTTTTTTCTTCGCTTTTTTTGGCAGTTGTAATTGAAGGAACTGGAAGTATCTTAACTTTATAATGCAATTTTATTAAATGCACTTATTTCTTAATTTTCAATTTATCATGTGAATAACAATTTACTATTACATTGTTTTAGTAATGAATGTAAAAGAATGAGTACCCTTTTGCTTATCAGTACTTATGTTAATGTAAATAATTCAACATTATTCAGTGTCGCTAATAAGCAGCATTTAATATACATCATTCATATAAATTTACTTAAATGATTAGGTCTAATTTTTTTTTAATCGAATTAAACACGGGCTGCATACACATGTAAAAAGCGACGAAAAGATATGTTTCAGGTTTAATGATTCAATAATAATAATAATAATAATAAAAAAAAAGAATAAACTACAGATTTATTTTAAAACATCGAAGCTTTAAGCATAACAATGTTATAAATAATGTAGCATTAAATAAATTAATATACATTGATATTTTAAAATATGCATTATATTATGAAAATATTAGAGTCATTAATAAAAACATACAAACAACAACTTGTTTACAATGACAACAGAAAAAATTCTAAAGAAACTGAAAAGAAATTTATAAATGCCAGAAAAGCACCTTTTCCCATTGTATTGCTTAAATCAATGAGTGCAAAGAATCATAAGTTAGACAAAATAAACAAAAAAATATATGCATCTAAAGGACTCTTACCAGTGAAAAAGTCAAATCCATCTTTTAAAAATGTTTGGTACATCAGTTCAAATACTTTCCACATATCTGGCGATATAGAATTTGAAGATAGACTATATATCAATGACATGGACTCCTCATAAAACTCTGCAGATGAAAGAATGATAAACTGCATTAAAAGGAATTAATGACTCAAATATTAAAAAGGTATTTACCTACTTATTTCATTAACTGTGTGTTCATTAACTTCACACAACAAGAAATAGCATAGCCAGGGCAAAAATTAGTGATTAATTTATATCAAACGATAAAAAACGAAATAAATAAAAAATTTAACTTTTAAGCAAGAAATCATTTTACTTCTGTCATATCTGAAAGAAAAAGCGGGTCATGTCATTTTCCAAATTTGAGGATGATAGATTTTCTGTTAAAACAGGGACAAGGCACAAAAACATGTTAAATTTTTGGTTTTAAAATAAAATGATTTTATCCTTTTAACAATTACAGGGATGGAACACAAGAATCATTATTTTAGAGAAGAAAAAAAATGCATTTCAGATCAAATAAACTTGGTTTCTGGAGCAATATTCTTTATATTCAGAGACAGTGTTTGTTAAAGTGGATTTTTGAGCATAAAAACTAACATTTTATATCATATTTATAGAAAAAAAAGATGTAGTAGAAATATAAAAAAGAATTACTGTTCAAATTTTATATTGATAAGCTTAAATCATATTACACCTAGATGATTATGCATTTTAAATAATTAGATAAAAGAAGTATGACAATATTTAAATCTAAAAAAACTTTCCATTTTAAATGAAACACCACCAACCATATACCATGATTATTGCAGAGTTAATTCCAGAACGACAGTTTTGCTTACACCATTTTTACATAGCTTCTCAAATTCCAATATCTTTAATACAATGTAATTATAATAAGTGAATTTTCAATTTCAGATATCACTTTTTGAACTGCCGGATTCAGGACAACTTCACCATCAGCCCACACCATTTTCTAATTTTTTAAAAAAACATATTTTTACACGGTTTTTCACTTTTTGATAATTTTAAATTACCTCCAACGACATTTTTTAAAAAATCCCCTTTTAACACTGACTCAATACTATGTTTTATAATTAATTTTTCAAATACTTAACAAAACACTTCATATACTTAAAAAAAAAATCCCTGCTATTTTTAAATAAGGAGTGCATTTTTTTTAATCCAACAAAAATTAGCGTTAATTATAAAAAACAGACATGCCACATTTATATGAAATAAAATATAAATTGAAAGGATATATTTCTTATAAGCATAATAAATAATTTCACTTCACATTATAAAGCTCTACTGTTAGTTTCAAACCATCATTATATATTAAACTGTTAATTGGAATAATTTCTTGATAACTGCAAATCTTAAAATCTAATATTCAGTTGAAAATTTCAACTTAGCTTAATATTTTTAATTAAATTGTTTCACTGATATTTATTGAAATCAAACATTTGTTTTTTTTAAAAAAAATATCAATTTGTGAACCTTTAATTTACCCTGTTCTTATTAATTTTTTTAAAACCAAACAGCTTTTTCGTTAAAGAAATTCTTCAATTGAAGGAGTCTAGGATTGTTAATCAAATTAAAATCATTTTAAATAAACTGTGCAGAAATCAAATCCAAATTTTGAATTAAATAATTTTACCTTACAAAATTTGTTTTCATATTAAAGAAATTGTAAATTTCTATATGCCTTAAAATAGTATATACAGGGTATCTGCTACATCTTAAATTTTCAAATCCATGAATAATTCCAAGAATTTTTCATGACTTAACAAAGTTTCCAATTTCTCCGACAAAACCACAACAGTTAATTATAATAACATTAATTGAAATTATAGGTATAACCAAAAATGTTAAACTCTGCATCTCCATAATTATTGATTTTAAACTTTAAAAATGAGTAAAAAAAAAAAAAAAAAGAGTTAAAGCAATAAAAATTACAAAAAAATTAAAAATTGCAAAAGCAAATAACTAAATACAGTTAAGTACAGTTTAAATAACTAAATATATGTGGTTATTTAAACCTGTTTTATTTCTTCTTAAAACTAACTAACATAAAAAGTCTAAACTAGAATTTTAAAATAAAAATAAATAGATAAAAAAAATTCTGAAATCATGGAAGTTTATAAGATAGTTTGCTCTAGAAATGTCCTTTCTTTCATTTTTTCTTACACCATAATTTATAAAGAAGAGGATAAAACATTTTATATTTTAATAAAATATGACTATGAATGTGAATTTTGTTACAAATTCAGATATTCGGAACACTGTAAAATTGGTAGGGGGGGAGGCTAAATTTCATTTTAAAAATTAGATTCTTCGGCAACCTAAATCCATGACTTTCCAAGATTTTTCTTCAAAAAATAATTAAAATGACATTTCATTACAAATTTTGTTCAATACCGAAATCCATGACTTTCAGGAGCGCAGATACCCTGTATTTAGTAAATTACTATATACCCTTTCAGACTTCAGAAACAGGTTTGATAGATTGCTTTTGTACTATTTATGTTTCAACGCATAAAATTCAGTGATTTTTCAACTGTCAAGTTTATAATAGAAATCAGGCAAAGAAAGTGGCACGTCTGAGAGGCATCCACACAGAGAAATAATTTATGAAAACATACCTATAATACTTTGTGTGAGAATAAGCCCTATAACATTGAGGACAATCGGTTCTAAATGCACCATTATATCTCTATGATCCTCCATAACAGAAAGAATAGTGTCCATGGTGTTAAGAATGCCCATGGCAGTGATTGTCTTCTCATCAGAGCTCTCCTCACCATTACTATTTATCACCTGAGTAAACGTCATTGCCTACAAATGAAAAATTATGACAAAAATTGAGAATAGTTAAAACCAATTGATTCAAAATACTCGTTAGAATTATTTAGTAACTAACTTTAATTACTTAGTTTTTAGAATTAAGTATAATAATTCTATTCTCACCAAGTCAGTCACTTCAGCATTATGTACTTTGAAAAATGACGTAAATAACATTTCAGTGTTAACTATATCCATATCAATTCTTTAGATATCCATCTAATCTATCTATCTTATCAATAATCCATCTATCTTATCAATTCTTTAGATATCCATCTAATTTTGAGCTTTTTTTCTTTTTTTTTATATATATATATGGATTCTACAGATTTCACATGGTAAGAAATGGTAAAGTTGCAACAAGCAAATCTCACACAACGCACATTTTTGGCTATAAGTCTTTCTGTTTTCAGCCATAACTTAGAAGTATAAAATTCAAAATAAAAGATTAAAATTAAATTTTAAAAGTATTGGTCACAATCCCTGTGATTGAACAAAAACAATCAAAACATGAAGTTGAGTTGCACACTTGATGCACACCCCTATACAAAAAATGCTCAAGGCACATTTTCTGATAAACTACAAACAAATACCAGTAAATTGGGAGTTTTTAACAGAGAAAAAAGGAACTGAATTAGCAAACTGTATACCATATTCTAATATTTTAAATGTAATAAAGTTTCAATATTACTATTAAGTTTCAATATGTCTACAACGTAAAGAAAAAAAGAACTGCAATTTTATTCAAATAAATATAAACGAAAAACAAAGAGATAAAGAATTTTTACGCCATCCCATTTTTGAATAAATGGTTCATGCGTGCTTAAGAGAAAGCTATTTTAATTAGCAATTTTTAAATTCCACATAACTACTTCGGAATTTAATTCATGCTTGAAAAAATACGCTTCAAAATGTGAAAATTTTTACAATTAAAGTTTTCAAAATTTTTTAACAAAAAAAAAAAAAAAAAAACATTGGAGATAACTTAGTAACAAAATAAAGGATCTGGTATGATTCAAAAGGTGATATGCCATAAATCACTCAATCAAGTTTGTAAAAGCAAGCTAGGAAAAAAATTCACTCACTAAATGCTGAGTCATTTCAACAGCAATAGGAACTAATTGCTGGGTATAGGTACAAACAATTTTTTGCATCACATTCGTCAAATCATCATTCTCTGTTTCTCTAAGTATTTTCAACAACTCAAGAGCAATAGGTTTTATGTGTGGTTCAAGATGTTTTTCAGCTGGAATGAAAATATAAATATATATTTAACTAAATTCGCATTTTCAGAAAATTCAATTGGTCTGTGAAAAATACATATACAGGACTCGAAATAAGTGGTTGTTCGTCATAATTCACACCTAAAAATTAAAATTTTGAAGTCCTGAAAAATACAATCAGATGTCATTATTGACGCCAAAATTTTTTGCCCCCCCACCCTACTCTTGACCGAGATATATGACAGACAATATTTGAGTATGATGTCACAGGGTAAGAATGTTAGTGAGTGTCCTGGGCTGGGAAGCTTAACTTGTAATTGGTTTTTAACTGGAATGTTTGTAAGTCACAGCAGGGAACCGAGGAAGTTCCAATTTCAAAAGTGGTTTGTTTAGAATCCCAGCCAATACTGAAGTTACGATTTTCAAATTTGAGCTTTTGTTGAGGCGTTACAGTCAGGATTATCATTTGATGATACTTTTTCTGGAAGTAATTTATTGTTGGCCTCTTTCACATGATTTTTATATTCTAATATATTTTAAATGATATATTCCATTTACGACATTTTAAATTTAGTTGCCTATGATTCCTGACTGTTACATACTAATTTCTAATGCTGTGTATGTATATATATATACACACACAGTTGAAAGTCCCATATCAGGCATCAGCGAGACTTCAGCAAGCTTGAAAATGTTTTTTGTGATAAAAGGTCTTTGTGGAAACGAACATCAAAATATCCTCACTCGATAAAAAATTAACAAATAGACTACAATTAACATTAATTACATTCAAAAGCGTTTTCTGATAGGTCAAAAAGATATTTAAAAAACTAGAGTGTTTACCTTTAAATACAGATCAAGCCCTCACCCAAATTTTGGAAAATATTGCTGTGGATGGGGAGAGGGGTAATAGTAGGAAGGGAAAAATGCTTTAAAAAAAGGAAATCAAAATTTTTTTTAACAAAGCAGAAATATTACTCGATAATTAAGTATACAACAAATAAACTGTATTTTAAATAAATTATCTTTTATCTATTCCCTTTTTTTCAAACTATTATAATTGCATCACCAAGAATGTGAAAATTCTTTTATGCAGAATTAAGGCAAAGAACAAGATTTAACTGAAAAGTAATTATTTACAGCAATTTCTAATCAAAATTTTTAAAAATGACAGCTAAATTCTTGTGGATGTGAATTACGACGTTTGATTTTAAAAGTGTGTGAATACGCTATTTGATTTTTAAATCACAAGGATACGAATCACTATGTGCAACTTTCTGTTGTGAATCATATTTTACTCTTTCAGCAATTATTGCAGTAAAATTGAACACTGGATGAAAGATTGCTCTCAGAGAAAGAGAGATTGAATGGAAAAGCAACCCGCCAGAACGAGTAAGTTTGAAAAACAACCCACCAGAATGCACGAGAAAGTCATGGAAGTAAGTTTGTACCAGACGAAATCTTTATTGGAGGTGTTAGCCGAAACTCTTTCCATGCCGACATTGACAGTTGCCGGGACTTCTAAATCGTCAAATTCACTGTAGATTCATCCTCTACTGGACATTTTTGTTACAAGAATCCTGGCTTCAAAGCATCACACCAGTTTCAGATTTCAAAATATTAGTAGCAGATATGGACAGTTCAACAGATATCAAAGGAGAAGGTGATTAATTCTTTACATTCTTCTTATTTTTTTTTACAATCAAGGTTTGCTCGTGTAAATGCTAATTTGATCAAAAACCAGGGTTCGTGATTATTTAAAAAAAAAAAAAAAAAAAATAAGATTTTATTCTAATATACTGTAAGAGCTTGGATTTGAAGCTCTAACTACCTAAAAAAAAATTTTTATTACAATACATAGCTTTGAATGCATAGCAACCATTTTGAAACAAATGCATGATTGAAATTTAAAGACTAGATGAAGTAGAGAATTTAAACCCTATTTTGGCATATTAGGGTAATTTTTTTTAAGATGACCTCAAGCTTTAAAAATATACATTTTCCAATAAATATATAATGTAGATTTTAATTCCATGCTTTTTCAATCAAAAGGTAAAATTTCAATTGACATTATTTTTTGTGAAAAAAAAAATTAAAATTTAACTTTAAAATTAAATGTAAGGTAACTTTAAAATCAAATCCTATCAAAAACCTGATTGTTAAAAGTATTGATAAAGTCATGGGGAATTTTGAATATTATATAACTTGCTAAGTCAACTTAGCATTAAGTCTTAATTATGACAGGCTAATTATTTACATATTAGATAGATTGTATTTAGGTTTATGTGGACCTGCTCGTGCTAGTTGTTTAGGAGTGTGATGATTTTTTTTAAAAAAATCATCACACTCCTAAACAAATATTGATACCATAAATGATTATTTCACAAAGGTTGACATTTTCATAATTTAAAGTACAATATATTACATGATCAAAGCGAGAGGATATTGGTTACCAAGAGAAAGTAGATTTTTGAAACATTTATGTTAGGATTGATGTGAACAAAAAAATGAGTAGAAACTTCGGTTGTGTTGAATAAAGAAATATTAATTGAAATATTTAAAAAGTGAACCAAAAAAACAAACTTAAATTCTGATAAATAACCGGAAAAATTTGAGTGATGAAAATTTAGATTTTAAATATTAAAGATACTTCGAAAATCAGGTTATCGAATCGACGTGTATTACTATCCACTGAAGGGAAAACCGAGATTAAGTTTGAAAAACTATGTAGAAAAAGAATGTTTTCAGGAGAAAATTAAATATGATGCCTACAAGTTTTGTGTCAAACCCATGGAAATAACTGCAGATTTAGAAAATGAAAGTAATAATAATTTACTTAATAGTAAAATTATAACAGAAAAAGAACATTGGTATAGAGCTAAATAAATACGGAAAAAGAGCGTAAAATTAAACCTTTAGTTGACCCCCTACCTAAATCTAACATAACTGGAAATAGATATTAACAGTTAAAATGCATTTAGTGCACTAATTTAGATATCATATTACCTTTGTCTTGATTGGTTATAAGCATTTGTAGAGCTACAGCTGCTTCAACTTTAACAGGGAGTTCTTTGTCATTTAACAATGCATTCTGCGTCAAAGAGAGAGCAGTCACCAAATTGGCTTCATGTTTAAACTTCATGGAGCAAAAATAATGCATTACCCAACATGCCTAAAAATATAACATTTATATTACAAATAGAAAGTTATAATAAAATTACACAATGCATATTAACTTAAATAAATAAAAAATATATAGCTGATTTATCCCAATAAAAATTATTCTGCACATCACAGTTTTAATTTTATGCTAAGTTAAGCTCACTAAAGAGAAAAAAGATTGTCATAAAAAGAAACAGTCTTTAAGGTTTGTGGAAGCCTTGTTTTGTTATCAGCAGTGTTTTCACTACAGCGCGAGAATCTCGCATATTTGTTTCTTTTCTCGCATTAAAAAATTATTACCGCGAGAAATTCGCGCATTCTATAAATCAATTTCAAAATTCTCCAATCTCTCGCATTTTGGTAAAAGCTTCGAATTACGCCATTTAGAATAAAATCCGTTTCACTTTTCTTCCTGAATCTTTCATTATTTTCAACATCTGCCCCCCATTATCTAGCCTCCCTATTTACCAGTATTGTTCAGAAACTTTTCGAACACAACCACGGAACCCCTTTCAGAACGCATTTCTCTGCAACCACGTGTTTACCGTAGGTAAGGTTTCTTCATATAAGACGTTCAAATTTTTTATGCACTTATGTAAGATGGACAAATACCTTGAAAAGGCAAAATCTTCTATTATGATGCACCAAAAATATTCAGTGCTTTAAAAAATAGAAGACGTTAAAAATGTATTATAATTAAAGAAATGTTTTTTTTCAAGAGTTTTTGTGTTTTTTTAGTTTTTAGAAATCTCACTTAACTTTTTGAAATCTCACCCTGTTTTTGAGAAAGGGTGAGAAATTCTCACCCATTTTTTTTCTATGATGAAAACACTGTATCAGTCTTATATGCTATACAAAATTCTACACGCCATAGACAAAATTAATTCTCAAGCTTTAGACCGATTTTCCAAGAATGATTATAAAAAACCTTCCCCGTTTTTTTTTAATTATTAGTTTTTCAGTTCCGCAGTCACCCTATAATTACGCTTTTTTTTGGTATCAGATTTTTACATTTTACATTGTTATTAAACATTTTCCTCTTTTAAACTAGTTTTTAACCAATTGTTTCATTCTTGAATATATATCGTTGTGTTTAAAATAAAAATCAACAACTTTAATCTTTTTCAACATTTTAATTAGTAATGCAATCTTATGCGGAGATACAAAGAGTAGTCTAATTGGCTACACTATGATTGTTGGTTCTAAATATATAAACTATAACAGCAAAACAATAATTAAACAAGACAGTCCTAAGAAATTATATACAATTACCCTTGCTCTCATGAATCCATGTTCACTTTGGAAACAGGGATAAACATAAGCAACTAAGATGTTCTCCATTTGTTCTTTGTATATCTTTCGCTAAAAAAAGAAAGAATTTTTAGCATGAATTTAAATTTAATTTAAGAACTTTTTTTTCCAATTATGTTATTATAAAAGCACAAATACAGAACTGATTATGGTAACAAGTGTGAAGGTGGGTCATTGAAGCCTTCAATTAATGTCATGTCACTTTTGAATCTAACTTTACCAAATAAAAAAAAAAAAAAAANTCCAAAAAAAAAAAAAAAAAAAAAAAAACATAAGATGTAAACCCTATGCCAGAATTTTTTTGATCTTTCTACAACTAACTCTAATATTACTAATATCTTTTTGAAAGATACTTATTAATAATAACAATTACTAATATGATAACAATCACTATTATAATAACAATTACTTATTAATAATTACAATTACTTCCTGTATGGTAAGACAGGTAATAGGCAACTAAGAATACTGTGATTCTCAACCTTTAAATTACATTTCAGAACTAATAAAACCTTTTTCTGCTTCTTAGCTTATTTTTTAAAAAAAATGTACTTCTTTTTAACAGCATTTTTTAAAGAGCGTTTTTAATGAATATTATTTTTTTTATGGTCACTTATTTCGAAAAATAGGGCAATGTAAAAAAATTAATTTGAGATTTTTAGCGTGAAATCTTTCGTTTTGTTTTGGTTTTTACCTGCTTTCCCTTTTTCAAAAAACATTTGTTTTTATCGACGCTTTTATTAAATTATAACCTACAATTTTCCTGGAAATTATGGTAATTGGAAAACTGAGACGTTCAGCTTTAAAATTATCTTTCAAAAAATAAGATCGATTTTCAGCTTCTGTATATAATTTTTTTCTTTTTTATGGGCACTTTAAAGATTGCGCTGCATTTTTAAAAGTGTTTCTCAGACTTCATCTCATTTAACATTTTATGGATAATTTTATTTTCTGGAAAATATTTTTTCCTGGAAAGCTTTGTAGTAAGAATTAAACTCTATTTTTTTCAACCTTACAACTTAATTTTTTGAAATAACTATTAGTGTTAATCAGTTTTTTATTTATTGTAAATATTTATCATTATCTTAAACATTCTCATTAAAGTTTTATTTTTTTAAAATTTACCCACATACTAATAATAAAGTCAAGTTTTGATAATTTTTCATTAATGACTAAACTTATTTATATATGAAAAATAATATTTATTAGCGATAATTATGAAATAATGACATTTCCCCCTTTTAAATGTTGCTATTCGGCCGTCAAATATTTGGTATGCAGCCAATCTTTTTGGCCGAATATTCGGTACTCTGCTAAATCACTCAGTTACATCCCTAATATATATAAAGGTTTAAAAAAATAAAAAAGAATTATTACTTTTAGCAAAACATCTGCTACAGTGCCAACCATATGAAGACCACCATCTTTTTGTTGAGCTGTGGAACCAGGATTAGTCAAAACTGTCATAACGAACTCCATAGATTTTTGAAGCATATCCTTTCTCTTCTTGGCAATTGAGTGCAAGAGAGTCTGTGCAGCGGTCACAGGAGAAATAAAATCTTCAAATACATCTAACAATTGAAAATAACAATTTTCATTTTTATTCATCATTAGGAGGAAAAACAAATCATACTAACAAGACTTAATATAATGTATCCTTCAAGCTTCTGCCTTTTCTGAGCAATCTTTAATAATTTTAAAAAATGTCTATTCATATTTAACTTTTATTTATAAACTTATTTATTCATCATTAAGGAAACAAGGAATAAAAGAGGAAATCATTTAACCTATTGTTTTTAAGAAAGAAATACATTATTTAATTTCTTTTATAAAAATGAGAATCTTTTCATCACTATTGGAAGAAAAGATAATATAAAAATAAATATGAACGTATACAGGCTAAAATGTGCTCCTTTAAAATGTTAAAGAATATAATCTATGATAAAAAGGAATTCACTGCTTATAGAAGAGGGAACAGAGAAACCATCAACAGAAATTTTCCTTCATGTTTTTTTAAAGCTTATGTAATATTTTAATCTCTTTTTTTTTTTAAAAAAAAATTATATTTATTGTTGGGAAAAGATTAGAAAACATACAATATTTTTAATATTGTTTTTACATCATTTTACAAATTATCGTCTCAGTATTTCATTTTTTTCCCCTTGTAAAAGGAAGAAGAAAAAAAATCAAACTTCCATTCTAAAATATAGAATAAAATAACTGGATTTTACAATAACAAGAAATCCAAAGCGATTTTAAAATCTCTAGAGAAGGACAAGGTTTAAATTTTTAATGCTTTTTAAAATACTCTAAAATTGATAGATTTTTATTGCTTTGAACTTAAAATCTCTCTAAAATAAAATACATCTCTTAAAATCTTCTTTAATTAAAATACATTTAATTAATGAAAAATAAAGACAAAAGAAATGGTAATGCATATGTCACAGTTACACTTTGTGTAATGTTACAATTACTCTTTCAATTAAATCATTATTTTAAACCTTTATTATACTCTTTCGTAACAGTTTTAGTTTATTTTATGCAAAATTTCAAACACCTGTGTTAGTTTACAAAGGGTTGTCAAAGTCTGGCTATCCAATGAAAGATTGGGGAACATAAGGGAGAGCTACATTTTAAAAAAGAGAGAGGGAGGAAACATACCAAACTTTTGTCTAATATATTCGTGGGGATCAGTAGACCATAGTTCTTCGTCTTTTTCATTGCTGCACATTAAGGGGAAAACAACATCTTGCACTATAGTCTGAGAGAGAGCACAAACATGAATATTTTAAAAATTTACACACAAAGTAACAACATAATTAGAATAAGAAAGGTTTATTTACCAGCATGTGGGGCTTGAGTAATTTCCATGAATATGAATGTGAAACCCTACAACAAAGATTTTTTAATTTAGGCAAACATTATTTAAAGATGAACAGAGCACAAAAAAAAGAAAGAAAAAAAGAAAGGACCACTCTAAATAGCTTTTGATCTAATGGTCAGATCTTTAAGCTCCAGGATTCAATCTTCATGATTAGAAGGGAATGACTTCAAATATGCTAGTTGATAAGTGCAGATGATACTTAAGGTTACGAAATCTGACAGAAAAACATTCTTTCACTGAACAAGCATACCTTTTTATCAATGGATTTGGATTTTTTAAATTACAGGGGATAGACGTAATCTGGAAAATATGGTTCCAACAGATTGACAAGGAGAGTGCTATATTTTTGAAATGTTTCTTTCTTCTTTTTTTTTTTTTTAATTCAGTTCATTTTTTAGTTGCCCAACTGACAACCACTGACCAAACAGAATGAAGAACCTGCATGTGTTGGGTAATCGCAGAATGCTGATTATTTTAAATAGTCTATATCTTAAAACTCTCTAAAATCAATTCAGAATTTAAAAAACTGACCCGAATATTAAAAAAAACTTAACTTAAAATTAGCCCAAAACGAAACTAACTTCACGTGACACAAAATGAGGCGTGGTTTGCTATGACGTCAAGATACAGTATCTCAGCGAACGGGAGGAGTTAAACCAAAGCTTCCTATCTAAAAATGTGTTACAAAGGCGTTTTAATTTGAACCGCATTTTTTAAAAATTGTTTTTCTTTCATGCTTATATTATTTATATATAGTTTAAATATATATGTAGTGTATATCAGTTGCATCCTCCTCCTTGA